GAATATCGCCGATGGTGCGCAGCAGCCTGACACAGCTGATTGCCGGCTGTCGCTTCATCAACAATTTTCTGTTCGCCTCAGGTGTGCCAGCATCTCCAGAGTGTTTGTGTCAGTGTTGGGAAGTGTAACGGATCTGCATATACTGCTATCAGGTATTTCCGCTGCACTTCCCAGTCAAGTTTTGGTGTTTTTCGTTCTAGCCGGCAACTCGTGATCGGGAGTGTATGTGTGCGTGCGCTCTCTTTTTCCTTCTCGTGCGCTCCATTTTTCAGTCATCCATCGGATCGCGTTTTCCAACTTGATACGTCATTTTTTCGAGTTTGGGTAGACGGATAGGGAAAACAATTAGTGCCTGAATTAGGACGCGCATAGATTATAATTATTGGGAAATGAAAAGGAAACTCTCGATAGCAAACAGAAATAAATTTTTAGATTTGATCATTCTGCTGCTTTGAGTGACCCACTTGTATAACTAATTAATATTGAGAAAGGGGAAAATCTCACAAGTGCAAAATTTTAAGTGAAGTAAGAAATATATTCGTAAAAAGTAAGTGTTTATTATCTTCAATTCAGTTCGACAATAATTTGTTCTTATTTCAATATAATTTTTTCTAGTTTTCTTTAATCTAAAGCATCACTAGATGAATTAAAGCATGAAGATTATAGTGAAGAAGACTTTGACGATAACTATTAAGAAGACGACCAGGAATCTAACGAAGTAGATGAAAAAACATATGAATTTGTGGAATAAACGAAAAAGAAATAGATTTTTATGAAGAAATAAATGTAACAATGAGCAATTAACTTTCGATGTACATATATAATAACATGAATTTTTTCAGTATGTATGTACATAAAACAAATTGTTGAAAATGAAAGACTGAATGAGCATTTCTTATTATTTATAGTTGATTCAATAAAAATGGCTTAAGCGTATACAAGTGATAATGTTGATTGTTTACTGTATTCATAAAAATTTGTATGAATGTTCTAGAATATTTAATCAATTGATAAAAGTCTCTGAAAGTGATCAGGAGCTCTTAATTCTACTTCGTATACATTTATGAGGGTACAAACCACTATAAATATACGAAATTACATCCTAGATAAACCGTCACTCTTGCGTCAATAGTGCAAACACCCTAATAAAAAAAAATTTGTTAAAGATCACATTTTTAACCTTTGTTAAAAGAGTTACGAGAAGACGTGTTTACATTGAAACAAAAATGTTGGCTGGTTACACCTTACACGTGTCCAAACGGCATTCCTGCATCTGCATTATTGGAGTTGACCGTGTTAACTTACGCAGGTTTCTGGGAAAGTAGATCTAGGAAGGTCATCCTTCATGCCTCACTTCAGGCTAAATTTGATCGACTTAGTGCTGCCAAGGATTGACCCACTCCTACTCAGTCAGCCCGTAAAAGCAGGTAATTAGCCCTACATAAGGGGATTGAAATTAGCGGATCCCAAATTCCGGATCGCGGACCGCATTGACTGCCTTCTAGGTGCAGATGTGTACCCTCTGCTCTGCTCTCCTTAACGAGCCAATGACCCAGATAACGGTTCTAGGCTGGATGATAAGTGGTCACACTGGCTCCACCCGTTCTCTCAAGATAACTCGCATACGACGTTCCGTTCAAAACCCAAAAGAGCATCAGGCATAAGCAACGTTCTTGAGGTATTACGAGTTCCTACATCACATGAAGAACACTTTGGGTTCCGATGTAGATTCTTCTGAGTACTACTAGCCTAGTGTTAGTTCAGGTGAAGATCATGCTTCAGCTTCTATTCATCCAGGTATGTGACTAGGACGCCAAGTTGGCCGCAGTTACACTGATGGACTGCAAGAGATTTTATGAACAGCTGCAGGATATCGCTAATATCACTATTCCTCCGTTCTTTGGATGTTATACCCAATCTCGCTGGTTCCTGCATGGATTGGCAGATGGATCAAAATGAACCTATGCCGTAATGTACTTTGTCTCAGAAAATCTAGACGGCAATAGAAAATTCATCCTAATCGAGGTCAAAACCAAGGCAGCTCACTGATTGCTTTCACGCCAGGCCACTTCCACACTGGAGCAGCTCTTGTTGTACCTGAGCCAGGTGACAACTCTCCACCCATCACTAGCGTGAAGCGTTATAGCTACAGCAATGCGCAACGAGTTCTGGCGACGATGGCAGCAAGAGGTACTAAATAAGTACTAGGTGCGTTTCAGGTGGTTATGGACTGAGGTCACGGTAAAAATTAGAGATCTTGTTCTGATCTTCGATATCAGCTTGCCCCTACTCGTTGGCCTCTAGACTGAGTGATTCAATTTCACCAGAGCCGGACAGTTTGTCTCGAGTAACACAGTTGAAGACTACTATTCTAACCCGACCTTATACAAAGCTTGTCCGCCTTTCTCTCTATTAGGCGATCGACAACGATAACTAGCGATCATGGTGAGCGGAAATACATGCGGTAACCAGCCCAGAACACGAGGACAGAATGGAACCAGAGATCTCAATGCTGGAACGCTAACTAATGCAGCCACATCATGGGTCAACACGTTCGAGTCGCCCGACCCTAGAAGAGCTTGTAAGTCGTTTAATTTTACGAAATTCCTTTTCGTCTTAAGTATCTTTCAACCAAAAAGTTCTCGAGGAAATCCTCCAGAATTTTATTTGCTGTCAGGAGATGTGACTCTTGAGAGTTGGACTTTGTGTCTACGATGAGAAAAAGAGAAGATAGCGTATACTCCTTTAAATAATAAGAATAAAGGATCTAGCCGTATAAGATGGTCAAAACTGCCCCGGCGGCATAAAAAAACTGATTATACCGTCATGTCCCTCCTCGAAAATTATCTTTCAAAACTAATTTTCAGATTTTAAATCTCATTGTTCGGCCCTCTAGATCGTAAAGAGTCATTTTCAGTTTTTCGACGATATCTCGGTCAATTTTTGAGCTAGAAAAAAATTTATTAAAGTTTTTTAAACCCTAGCAAGTGGCGTGACATAAGAAATGTTTAGCGCGAAATTTAAATCTTTACAGGCGTTCGAAATTTTTAAAACTCGATATTTTAAAAACAAAAAAATACTCATTTCTGGAAAAAATATATATTGTGTATTTGCTGTATTATAAAATATACAACATTTTATATGCAACACCGAAAAAAAATGAAAATAAAATTTTCCAAAAATAAAAAAAAATACATAATCTCGAATTTAAACCAGACTTTTGTTCGAAAACTCATAATCCTTAATTTTCACCCTTCATAATTAAACATCAAACAAGCTATTATACAATGAATTTCGATGTATAGAACTTGAGTTATTAAAGCTGACATCCATACAATGTAAACACATACAACGCACACACACAAACAGACGTTTCTCAAAAATGGTAATAAACCATGACTCCTAGTAGCTTGTGACTAGAGCAATCAGCATGCTTGCTCTTAGTCTACCTTTACCCTTTTCTCGATGAAGCACAGTAGTCAGTGTTGGGCGTATATTAAAAATATGCCTAATACTTATCCTTTTGTTTCAGCATCGATGATTACTGAAGAGCGGCCAAATAGACTTGAAGGGCTCTAGTAATGAGAGCGAGAAAGAAAGAACGATCGAGAGAAAGGAGAGAATACACGCACAATACAGGTCTAAGCAGGCGTGAGACGCATGACCGATTGCGTCGCATGCCGCCTGAACATTATAGGGCAAGTGGAGATGAAGGAGAACGCGAGTTGAGTACCGAGAGAAGGCCGCGGCTGGCAATGAGTCGTTCACGTCCTTCTCATCCACCCTCGCAAGAACGTCTCAGTAGGCTATTGCGAGAGAGTATGACCATGAGCCATTCAACTATTGCACGTTGAGGCCCCCGCTGCGAGAGGTAGATCAACATTTATTGAATGCAACTTTGCAGAAAGATTAAAAAAATAAAAATAAAAATAAAAATAAAAAAATAAAAATAAAAATAAAAAAATAAAAATAAAAATAAAAATAAAAAAATAAAAATAAAAATAAAAGAAATTAAACCTTAAAGAGGTCAATCAGAACAGTGTCCACAAGTGATATAAGTCTTCACCCACCTACCCGCGCTATACGTATAAGAGAAGCTGCTCTTTGTTACGAGGTACGCGATATGGACGCCTACTGATTAGGGAAGAAGAGATACAATCCAATGCAGTTTTGCTTGGCTGCCTACTTCAACCAAGCCAACCAGATCAAAAGACAAGGTTAGGTTTTCGTTTCTCTCTCTTGTAACCTTTCTCCCCATGGCAGACTTGTCGTCGCTGTACATTTTTTGCGGTAATTCTCGGTATCCAGGTATTCACTCACCGGCTTCTTAAGATTTTTTTATGTTTGAAGCAGCGGCTTGATATGTTAAGTGCAAGCGACAGGTAGTGGGCTGTCATGGCCTTCACCCGCCGGGTAGCTCACACCTAATTCTGTTCCGGTTATGATTACTGTATTCATACTCTCGAGGCTTGCAATGGCTCGGTCGGTAGGGCGACGGACTCGCACCCGGTAGGCCTGGGTTCGATTCCCAGTCCCTGCTGATTGATACAAGCACCACTGAAAAAAGTTTCATGTGCTTTGTTCTCAAACACATTGCAAGCCTTCGTCGCTGATTAGCACTGATGGGCATAAATAGAGCGACGTTAAATAAAAAAAAAAAAAAAAAAAAAAAAAAAAGTATTCATACACAGTGGTTTGCGTTCTTTCTTAGTGGTAAGAGTTTATCGAGATTGTTCGTTCTTTGTTTGTTAATGATTAGAAATAAGATTTTGCATTTTGATAAACGGTGTGTGTAATTATTTGTGGACCTATTTTTCTCTTTCCTCTTCGATTGCTGAGAGCCAAAGTACTTCTCTTATCTCCCTAATAAAGAATTGGTAGCAAAGCACGGCGACGTTATGCTTCTCTGTTACAATTTCAAAACTTATTTCTATGATGTTTTAAAGTAAACTATTGTTGATAAAAATTGTTTTTTATTAGAATGTTTCCTGTATTTTCAGTTATACCTTCAGTGACAGCGGTAAACCAACTTTTGGGAGCTCCTGTCGGAACCGACGTAGTTTTAGAGTGCTATGTCGAAGCTCATCCTAATCCTGTCAACTATTGGCTTAAAAATCCTGATGAAATGCTACTTGAAGGGTACGGACTTTCTTTAAGAATATTTGTTCATCTTTTTTGAATTGTAATTAATACAATCAATTGTATATTATTTACTAAAGAACCCTGTTGAGTAGCTAAGTTAAGCTTTCGTGAAAATCGAGAACCGCAGTTGCGGTCTGACTGTAGGTATGACGAAGTGCAGCTACCCTACAGTGCCGCTTACGCACTTTTACCCCCCCCCCCCCCACGGGCAAAATCAGTCTAACTTCAAAGTTTTATATCCCTGGTAGAAATTAACGTACAGAGACGCGCGTGGGTGCGTTTGAAAGGTCTTTCGGAGAGCTTTCAAATGATATGATTCACGGTTGCCATCGATTGTTTTTTTAAATTTTGCAACAATTATGCAAAATTGAAAATTCTGAAATTTTCTTATTATTTTTGACAATTAGCCAATTTTGGAAAAAAAATAAAACGAAAATTTGAAGTACACCATTTTTTAGCTATTACCAAGCCCTATCTGAATCACTCATCAAAAATTTATTTTCGTCAAATATGACGCGCGCACGGGCATTTTTTCCTGGAAGTGACAGTTTTTTTCAACATTTTTTATCTCCATCAAATTGTAACAATCGAAAAAAATTTATAGGAGAAAAAATGTTTGTTTTTTCACGTAGAATACTGCAATAATTTTTTTTTTGGTTTTTCGAAAAATTTTTTTTTTCGGTTTTTTTCAATTTTTTTTTCTCACAGTCGGTACGCTAAAAAGATGAGAAACCACAAAAAAAAATTTTTTCCACCCATTCAATAATACTACATAACAAGTATCGTAAATTACATAAAAAAAAAATCTTTTTTTTTCGACCTTGAAAAATAATTTAAACCGAAAAAAAAAATTTAAACCGAAAAAAAAAATTTTTCGAAAAACCAAAAAAAAAATTATTGCAGTATTCTACGTGAAACAACAAACATTTTTTCTCCTATAAATTTTTTTCGATTGTTACAATTTGACGGAGATAAAAAATGTTGAAAAAAACTGTCACTTCCAGGAAAAAATGTCCGTGCGCGCGTCATATTTGACGAAAATAAACTTTTGATGAGTGATTCAGATAGAGCTTGGTAATAGCTAAAAAATGGTGTACTTCAAATTTTCGTACGATTTTTTTTCCAAAATTGGCTAATTGTCAAAAATAATAAAAAAATTTCAGAATTTTCAATTTTGCATAATTGTTGCAAAATTTAAAAAAACAATCGATGGCAACCGTGAATCATATCATTTGAAAGCTCTCCGAAAGACCTTTCAAACGCACCCACGCGCGTCTCTGTACGTTAATTTCTACCAGAGATATAAAACTTTGAAGTTAGACTGATTTTGTCCGTGGGGGGGTAAAAGTGCGTGAGCGGCACTGTATATACAATACTTTTGTGTTGGATTTCCATTTGATACACTAAATATACATAATTGTATAAGTATACATGGAATCAAATTAGAATTTATTTAAATATATTATTTTTAAATTGCTTTTTTTTTATTTTTAAATTGTTTTTTTCTATTTTCAAATTGCTTTTTTCTATTTGTTTGTTATCATTATATTTCGCACAACCATTATCATCTTCTCAATATCAAAAACTTTATTACGATCTTTCTATCAAGCTCGGCTTAATATTCGATATGAATCGATCGGAGGGTCATTTTAACCGGCTACTATACAACCCTAATTTATCTTTTACATTGTTCACCATCGTCATATTTTATAAATAAGATTACTTGTCTTGACAACAAGATGTCTACTAATTTGAAAGATATCGGAATCACCAGTGATAAAGATATCCAGTACTTACTAGAAAAACCAAGCTATGATTTTGCTCTGTAAGTTTTCGCTTATTTTAATGCTTATATAACTTCAACTGGAGTTATTGGTTTACGAATGATAATGTATGAAATTTCCACAATATATAATTTGTTATTTTAAGAGAATTAGATACCTTATTGAAATATTTAGTCGTACTAGACTGAAACCAGATGAAGATCAAAAACTGCTCAAAGCTATTATAACGAAGAGCAAGCGGATACTGTTACTGATTTGGGATTCTGAATTATGACAAAGATGACATCATTAATTATTCTAAATATGATAAATTGAACAGTAGTGGCTTATTAATTACATTAAATGCATATTTAATATTTTTACGGTATAACGAGGTAGTCATAACTAACATCAAAATAATTTGTTAATTATGTTTTGTTTCATTCTCCATAATAATTAGATAGATTATTTGAATGTTCCATGGTGGAGAATCATCCCTCGTAATGTTCAATGAATAAAAAAAACCTGTAATTCTTTTCTCAACCAACGTTTCACTGACTAAAATTTGTCAGCCTTATCAGGGTTTCCTTTTTATTCAGAAATTTAAAGAATATACAATTTATAAATATACAATATCAAATCACAAAATATGAAAGATCAATAAAACATAAACCAAGCATTAACACTGTAAAAGATAGTTATGCATATTATACATTCTTAAAATTTTCTTTTCACTGTGACGTCGGTTGATGCAACATACGAGGTGTGTTCAAAAAGTAAGGTGACTTTTCAAATTTCACGAGCAACGTACTTTCGATTATCGATGTTTGTTATGTTGTTTTGTTTTGTTTTGTTTGTGTCTTTTATTTTGTTATGTTGGTACACTCTTCCCGAACATCTATACCAAGTTTCAAGAGTATAGTATTTTTTGTTTGGTTGTGAGAAGCGTAAAGGTTATAAGTGTTTTGCGTGCTCGGCGATTTCTTGCTATCGAAAAATATGGATCAAAGGATTTGCATCAAATTTTGTGTAAAAAATTAAATAAAGGGCTCCGAAACACTTGAAATGTTGACAGTGGCATACGGTGAAACTGTTCTGAGTAAAAAAAATGTTTACAAGTGGTACAAACTCTTTTAAGATGACTGGGAAGATGCTAATGACGAGCCTCGCTCTGGATGCCCAAGCACGTCAAAAACTGATGAAACGTTTAAGCAGTGAAGAAAATTGTTCTGGAAAATCGTCGAATCACTATCAGAGAAGTTGCTGAGGATGTTGGTATATCGTTTGACTCGTGCCATGAAATTTTTTCTAACGTTTTGGGCATGAGACGTGTGTCAGCGAAGTTTGTTCCGAAATTGCTAAATTTTGACTAAAAGAACCGTCGCATGAGCATCGCTCAAGAACTGTTGACTGACGACAACGACGACCTAGATTTACTCAAAAGGGTCATAACTGGTGATGAATCATGGGTATATGGTTATGATATCGAAACCAAAGTCCATTCGTCCCAATGGAAGAGCCCAGATGAGCCAAGACCGAAAAAAGCACGCCAAGTTCGATCAAATGTGAAAGTTTTGCTCACTGTTTTCTTTGATTACCATGGCGTGGTGCATCAGGAGTTCTTACCATATGAACGTACGGTCAATAAACAGTATTATCTTGAAGGTATGCGCCGTTTGCGGGAAGAAATACGAAGAAAACGCCCAGAATTGTGGAAAAACAATTCATGGCTTTTGCATCACGATAATGCCCCTGCTCACTCATCTTTGCTTGTGAGAGATTTTTTGGCCAAAAACAACACCACAATCATGCCTCAGCCACCATATTCACCGGATTTGGCCCCATGTGACTTTTTCTTGTTCCCAAAACTAAAGAGACCTATGAAAGAACGGAGATTTGCAACGATTGAAGAGATAAAGACTGCATCGCTGGAAGAGCTCAAGGCTATACCGAAAAGTGCTTATGAGAAGTGCTTTGAGGATTAGAAAAACCTTTGGCATAAGGGTATTGTATCTGAGGGGGATTACTTTGAAGGGAACCACATAAATATTGATAAATAAATAAATATATTTTCTCAAAAATACAAAGTCACCTTACTTTTTGAACACACCTCGTATATCTCAGGCGCAATAACTGAGCCGTGCGTTACCACTATCGCGGGAAATTCTCTTTTTGGTGACGGAGGATTAAAGCTTTACTATACCACACGCTTGGCAATATAGTTGTGCTTCGCGTTATTTTATCATACTCTTGGCAATAAAATATCGCAACAGGGAGCCTATCTAATATGCACTAGACCACACGCTTGGCAATCAAGTTCGTCCTTAGGCGCATTAGCGAAACACACCTGACAGTGAATCACCTCAAATCTCGCATCTACATGCCAGAAGTGTGATACTTGGGCGTCTTGGTTAATCAGGATGGGATCCGTTTGGATCCAGATAAAGTGAGGCCAATTGTTGAATACCCGGCGCCAGCAAATCTCAAATAGTTGCGTAGGTTTCTAGGTATGGCCTCATGGTACTGAAAGTTTATTGGAGACTTCGCTTCTATAGTGGCTTTACTTACTACTCTTACTCATAAAGATGCAAAGTACGAGTGGGGCGAAGAGCAACAGGCTTCCTTGGAGCAAATAAAGGCTCTACTGGCCACTGCTCCAGTCTTGGCTAGGTCGGACTTTAACGCCCCGTTTACTGTCGAGTACGATGCGAGCGACACTGGCCTTGGTAGCATCCTGCTCCAACGCGTGGAAGGCGAAGACCGAGTGCTGCGTTACGCCAGCCGCATTTTGAGAGAGAGAGTAGGCATTAAGCTGATGATTCCTTTTCTATTTTTCCATTTTTCTATTTCTTTATTTTCTCTAGTACACTCTATTATTCACCCTTATTTCATTTTATGTTTTTTACTCAAATTTGATATTACTAAATTTATTTGATTACAAACGTGATACTTTATTTATCAACCATTTAACTATAACTACTTCCCCTGCCGTTACGGCCATATATCCAGGTCCTTTCGTGAGATTATAAACAAATTGATCAGGAGATGGCGTGGCAATAGCAAGTGCATTTTTCAAAATATCTCTTTCTTGACTACAACGTTGTACAACAACATCCTTATACAAATTTGTTATTTGCAACTTAATATAACGCTCTACAAATACAAACTATGAATTTATATACGCAAATATATCTAAATTACTTAAAGAAATTTTCCTACTGGGAAATAACATAC